CTCGCTCTCTTGATACAGCAGAGGAGAAAAAAGTTCAGTCAATCAAAAAACGTCGGGTATCTTCGTATTTGTGTGATACATAGCCCTCGATTTGTCACTTATTGTTGTCGGCCGTCAGAGCGACACCGCATCTGACAAGTAACAGCACTTCTGATTGATTGGAACCGTTGATTGTTTCGCTTGGATCTGAACTCTGGAGAAAAGATCTCAGTCGTGGGGGAATGCTGTGAGAGCATCGCCGACAGGATAGGAATGGTGCCCAGTATACATGAAGAATCTAAATTACCATTAAAGGCTAATCGATTACTACGATATTAGGCAGCGTGTTGGTAGTGTATTGGACAGGCGTATTTCTGTAGTCATGTTTTTAAATTCATTGATTATTTAATTGTGGAATAATTCAATCTGTTGATTCCTGAGGTAGATTCGAAGAATCCAGAAAGAGCGAGTTGATTCTACTTTCGGAATAGAAAGGGTCGAGTTATTTCGCCTATAGCTATGTATACCATGTTGCGGTAGTAACGTATATCATAGTCGGGATAACGCCTTCACTAGAGAACAGATTATGGTCCCTTTTTGGTGGGGTGAGACCCATCCGGGATTCGAACCCACACCTATAAAGTGATGCATCAAATCACCAGCATACAAAGTAAAACATCAAACCCTCTCAGCCAGCGCACTTCTACAAGAATGGAAGCCTGACAACTGGTAGTCTTGATCAAGAACTTTGTGCATCCCTCCGACAAGTGTAAACTGGCACTGCTCCAACGGCGGAAATGCCATTTAAATGTCAAAATGCCATTGAAGTACAGATTCTAGTTCCTTGTTTACTGAGAAAGTGTAATCCCAAATATAATACACGTTACATTTGATTTCATTCTAAATGACATTGTGTATTCATTTTACGGTGGATATATATTCCTTTCTATAATTTTACATAGCGGGCTTTAGTTGAATCAGAATTCCTGATTCAACTGCTAGATCAGCGCGGCTTCATCATAACGGTTTACTAACTGTAAACTTTAATGATGATAAGAAATAACTTTGTTTGGTTGTTGTTTAACGCCGCACTCAGCAATATCCCGCTGTATGGAGGCGGTCTGTAAATAATCGAGTCTGGTCCAGACAATCCAGTGATCAACATCATGAACATCGATCTACACAACTTGGAAGTCAACCAACTCAGCGAGCCAGACCACCCGATCCCATTTGTCGCCTCTTACGACAAATATGGGTTACTGAAGACCAATTTTAACCCGGATATTCACGGGTGTATACAAATATGCAGTATCAAGACAATGTTTTGGCATACACTGATAGTGCCTTTGTGAAAAGTCTACTTCGGAGGCCATTCACATCTAGTCAGGGCTCAATTTAAGCATTTAGAACTTGCACTGGTGCCCTCTGAAACTGCAAAATGCAACCTAACATTAATACGAGCTTGCACCAAGCGCAGGTTAATAGTTAGCTGTTAAAGAACACAGACTTCATCTGGAAAACAGATTTACGGGGACCTGGCTTGGAGCAGTGACTCTGATCACTGCATGGACAGTGATTGAATGATTTTTCATGTCATGACTCATAAAATTTTATGAAGTGACATACACTGATCGTCTGTGACCCAGAATAATTTTCTTGTAATGATGATCTAAATCATCCATACCAAAGTCCAAGCATTATATGTAATTTTATATTGAGCAGCAGTGCAACTTGTTTTTCTCGTGCAACAAGATCATATTACCTGAGGTTGCACCGGTGCAAGTAGGTTTCATTTCCTTCACAACCGAGACCCACCAGCTGCCATTCTGATCACACTATCCCCAAGTGTAAAGAAAAGCTTGGTTGAAGTTACGACAGTTAGAATCATAGGCTGGAGGATCCATAAGTAATAATAAGATTTCTTCTTGCTGCTGCTGTTGTACTTCCTTGCCGACCAGTCATTGTTTATTATTTTAATAGCACAAAGCAGGATACCAATAGGTTCACACTAGGATTTTCGTTGTATTTGTCTATGTATTCACACGTATGGCTTTTCTTCGAGTAGTTAGTTGAGTGAGTGAGTTTAGTTTTAGGCCGACTTAAGCAGTTTTCCGGCAATATCACGGCGAGGGACACCAGAAACGGGCTTCACACATTGCACCCATGTGGGGAATCGAAACCGGGTCTTCGGCGTGACGAGCGAACGCGCATTAACCACTAGGCTACCCCACCACCCCCGAGTAGTTAGTTGAAGCCACGATGTTCTACTCAAGTGTTGTTTTAACCTAAAACCTCTCGGTTCTGTAGACTGTGTAACCGGAGCGGTGGGGTAGCTTAGTGGTTAAAGCGTTCGCTCGTCACGCCGAAGACCCGGCTTCAATTCCCTACATGGTTACAATGCGTGAAGCCCATTTCTGATGTCACCCGCGGTGATATTGATGGCATATTGCTAAAAGCGGCGTAAAACCAAACTCACTCACTCACTGTGTAACCCGACCTCCAACTCCCACAAGCTCCGCATCCTTTTAGTCAGTCGTATCCAAAATCACACATTCAAGATCTTCCCTCCTTCCGTTCAGAGATCCGTTCATGCTTGTCATGTCTATCTAAAAACTAAAAATCAAGTTCAAAACAAATAGATGGGCATAAAGATGTTATGGGGTTTCCCTGGTGACCTGCTCCACGTGTTTGTTGTTGTGACTCATGCATTGCTTGGGGACTTTATGAGGCGAGTCAATTGGTTAGATCACGCTGGAAAATTATAAATCAATTTGAACGTGTTGCTTGAGATGCTACTTGCACGTTACCCAAAAGGCCATGTCGGTACGATCCTCGTTCCACAAGATAGGCGTCATATTCCAATAGCAATTGCTGTGGTGTTGAATGAGTGAGTGAGTATGGTTTTACGCCGCTTTAAGCAATATTCCAGCAATATCATGTCGGGGGACACCAGAAATGGGCTTCACGCATTGTACCCATGTGGGGAATCGAACCCGGGTCTTCGGCGTGACGAGCCAACGCTTTAACCACTAGGCTACTACACCGCCCCTATCCCATGTATGAAACTAACACATCAAGACGTAACTGAAATAACTTTCAAAGCGGCGTAAAACCAGACTCACTCATAAGTCCCTGTGTAGAGGAGTGTCATTCATATTTAATACACATATTTTCGCGACATTACACTGAATTATTTACCATCTGTACAATTAGTAGGAATTATCGATAAGCTTTTAATACGTGGGTTTGTATGATAAAGATGAGAGAGCAAAAAACATCAATCATCGCCATGTCTCGCCATTTTCTCATAACTGTCAAAACAGGAAGTTCAAGTTATTTTATTATACATTAATTGCGTTTTCAGTTACTGGTTGTAGATGATTTTTTTAAGATTAGCTCGCAAGTTTCCTGTAAGACAGAGAACGTGTTAACTTTCAGGAGTATTTATAAAAGACCTGGGGGTCCTTTCACAAGGTGATCGTAAGTCACTAAGATAACCTTAGTGCAATGTTAAAGAATGGGAGTTAAAGTTAACCTTAGTAAAGATTGCTTCGTGAAAGGAGCCCCCGATTGACGACAGGGAGTGGACCCCTATGGCATTATGTCCTCAAAGGATTTTTCCAACTGAACATAAATACAGTATGAGGTCTAATGCATCGGTATTCGAGTTCACAACTGTTTGGAGTGAGTGAGTGAGTGAGGTTTTATGCCATCTTTAGCAATATTTCTCAGCAATGTCACGAGGGGTGACACAGAAATGGTCTTCACACACTGTACCAATACGGAGAATCGAACCCGGATTCTTTGTGTGACGACAGACCACTTTACCCACTAAGCTACCTTACTGCCTCCGTCCTCATAGTTGTTTCTATTTGTTTGTTTGCTTGTTTGCTGTGGGGGGCGGTGGGGTAGCCTAGTGGGTAAAGCGTTCGCTTGTCACACCGAAGGCCCGGGTTCGATTCCCCACATGGGTAAAATGTGTGAAGCCCATTTCTGGTGTCCCGCTGTGATATTGCTGGAATATTGCTAAAAGCGGCGTAAAATCAAACTCACTCACTCATTATTTGCTGTGTTGTTGCTGACTACCATGATGTTGCTGTGTTGTTGCTGACTAATGACATGTTGCACCCACATTGGCAGAGGGTAGATAGAACAAAAGTAACTAGTAACCAAACCAAACAGAAAGCTTGTCTGTGGACAGTCAATTGCATCTTGGTATTAGATGTACACGTGTGGGGGAATCCACAGGAATGTTTGCCAAGGAATGCTAAAGGTTTTACGTTGCCTGGCGCATAACTGATGGCGTGTTTGTGATGAAAGGTAAATAAATTGATACATTATTGTAGAGCTCGAGGGTGTATATCAGAACAGTTAAAAAAACTTCGATGTGTGGTTCAAAATGCTGTGTTACTGTGTTAAGTTTAGCCAAGCAACATATGCATGTATTGCGTGATTGCTGTATTGCAAATCTATCTTCGATCAAATTCGTGGCACACTGGACATGTTCACATGCGTACGCTTACTGCTAGACCACACGAATAACGTTTAAAGGCAGACTATGTAAACCTATAGCCGTCGGTTATCTCGGCTGGGTGAAATAGCCTGAATTTAATCTTAACAACAATAATGAAATCGGTTTACGACATTGATGAACATGCTGAATTGATGGAGTCCATTTTAATGCACTGCTGATGCTGGTGATGATGATGATGATGATGATGATGATGATGATGACGACAATGAGGATGTTGATGGTGGTGGTAAATGATTACCCCGCACAGGAGTAGTTAAGGTGTCAAAATAACACTTGAACTATGGTAGCTTAAATCATGTTAGGACATTCTGCACATATTCAAATTGAGCACGGTTTTAGTTTTAACAGTAGGTAGTTCGAATTACAACGTCTGAATCTATAAGACGCAACACACTGTTAAATACAGTTCCGTTGTAACAATACACACTATAACCATTGTGCGAGTCGCCCTCATGAAGACCTTTCTAATCTGGACCTTTTCTTTCAGATCGGCCATGCCCCGCCTGTCCGTGTGCCTGGCTGTTTTAGTCTACACATGTGTGTCCATGAAGCTCATATCAGCGGAGGAACCCAACAGCAAGTCAAATACAGAAGAGAAATATTTCTCACCTGGAGAACCAACATGGCCGACAGGGAACGGAGTATATGAAGATGAAATACAAGCATTGGGTGGTGATGGCGAGGGACATGTGAAACGCGTTGGCGACAGAGAGAACCGATCTTCTGGAACTTCTCTGTGGACAAAGATTCTCAACCGATTAGGAAAAACACAGGAAACGTTCGGCACTTCCGGTCAGTACCCGAACCTGCCTGGCAAGACGGGGTATGAAAGGAGGTATCTGGCTCCTCAAAGTGGCCTTGGCAAAACTCAAACGGAATCTTTCAGGTATGCCTTCGTTTGAAAAAGAGCGCGCAATGAATGACGGAAAATTTAAAACGCAGAAGAAACGAGGCCTGTCAATAAATGGCGCACTATCTTCTTTGGCGGATATGCTTTCGGCGGAGGGTCAACGTCGAGATCACGCCGCGGCGCTTCGGCTTCGACAGCGCCTCCTAGTGGCAGGAAAACGTTGAAAAAAGGACGCAAATTATGGATTCAAAATTATTCGGTCTTAAAAGACATCTAGTGACAATCTAACACTTTCAAACGATATATCGTGGTCCACTTTTCAACGATATATCGTGGTCAAGGGCAACTGAGTGAAAACAATTATAAGTTGGAACATGACTTTCAAAACGTTTTTGAAATGATGTCAGTGAACTTTGGTTCAGTTGCACGGTATAAGTCAACACAATTATAAGCATGGGTGTTTCTGAATTCAGTGTTTGAGTTTTATTGTGATAATCAGGGATTGGTCGACAAATTTTCACGGTGGGATCTAACAACGGACATGAACACTTTTGTTTGTGTTAAAAACAAAGACGATTCTGTTGCTAATTTCAGCCTCTCAAACAGCACGGATAATGATTGGTCTACTTTTTGTCACTAACAAAATACATTATATTAATTGATATCCTCGTGTAATGTTGTCCTGTTATCAACTCTGTTAAGAACAGTAATTCTATTTTCAGAAATATAGACACACGTTAAGTTCTCGTCTTGCAAATGAGCTTTTCCACTAAGCAAAATGCCCTTCGCTTGTGTTGCTAGTAAACAGACAGTTGAAGTCAAACAGATAAAAATACGAAACATACAAATTACCATTATGACGAGTTATTGGTTCATCTCAACAGATGTAATCTGGCAAAGCAGTTACTATTATACTTGCAGGTCAACATTGTCAGACCTTTACTAGTGTTATTGTTGAACAAGACGACGACGGGCAATTTCCACACTTTTCAACACATAACCCAATGTGCTGCTTGACTGTAGAGCAAAATAACTCATTGGGTTATGTTTGCAATCGTCCCTCTGAGACTCATACCGTTTACAAACAAGTTCTACGTGAAATCCCCTGACCCCAATTCCGTTTCCGTAAACGTTTATTCCGTAACAATTATGAATACAACCAATTAAACTGCTGTGGGACGCTGAATGTCTTCACAACAAACGGTGATTTTACGTTAATGGGGTGTTCTTAATATCCGCCGGGATTGCAAATCGCCCTATTCCTTATGCAGGCCAAATTTATACCAATCATAAAGTTAGCGATATAGCAAGTTGCTCCGACTTTTTGGCTGCATTATGTTAACACACGAAACTCTCTCGTACCGCATTGTTCTATTTATTTAAGACAGGAATCAACGAGTCGACATAACGCTATGATATCACACTTATTTTTATTACACAGTTTGAATGACAGCTTGTTATAATCAGAAATATATTTTTTCTGATGAAGGAAGCTGTAGCCAGTAACGGCAGAACAAAGGGTTTATCGTCCACTATAAAAAAAAAAACAAAAAACAATCGATGCTAGAGGTTAAATTTGTCCGATTTTCGAGACATTAATTCTCGCTCTCTATTAGATAAAAAAGGGATAAATTTCAATCATTTCCCGGGGAACCGTGAGGGGTACGATAATGATTCACACTCTATAAATGGATGTGAATCAGCTACCCACAGTTTAGTTCAACAACGTGAGGAGGGTCTCAGACCAGCTCTGGTAGATTGCTCAATATATGTATAAAGCTGTTCATAAACAGATTCTATGTGTAGTGTAAACAAGAATAACGAATATTGTATTCTCCAGAATATATTTTGTTGTGGAATAAAGTGATTGTTGCCAATGAGCTATTTGTTTCCTTCCGCGTGAACGATAACACGCATGCGCTATCATCAAAAGTAGCTGTGAACATAGAAACTGGTGGACGAGAGAAAGTACACACTTGGAAATAGTATTTGTCATTACAAACCTTATCAAAATGTCACTAGGCTGAAAAAAAGTCACCAAAACACTGCAACTATGGTGTTTAATTTTCGGCTCAAAACATCAGGGGACGGTGGGGTAGCCTAGTGGTTAAAGCGTTGGCTCGTCACGCCGAAGACCCGGGTTCGAATCCCCACATGGGTACAATGTGTGAAGCCCATTTCTGGTGTCCCCCGCAGTCAGTCAGTCCAAACATCAGTGTTATACTCTTCTTTGCCTAGCATTAAATATTCATTGATAACGAAACATTGTACGGTTTGTATTGGTGCTATTACAACAATATTCGTTGATCGTGTTGACAAAATACAACAACTTGTATAGATTGACAACTTCTTTATTGCAAGAGATGCGACGTTTCGATGTAGATGCTAACACCGTTATCAAGCATGCGATAACGATGATAGCATCTACACTGAAATGTCGGATTCTATAACACCTTCGACCGCCTCCGTGGTGTAGTGGTTAGAGCGTCCGCCCGGAGAGCGGAAGGTCGCAGGTTCGAACCCCGACCGCGTCATACCAAAAGACGTTAAAATATGGTACTTGTTGGTCCCTGCCTGGCGCTCGGCATTAATGGGTACAACAAGGACTGGTCGGCTCGGAGTCAGTAGAATGTGTCTGAATGGGGTATTCATGCTTCACTGCGGCATGGTATCTCAGTGGGCTAGCACTATAAAACCAGCTTCAGTCTGGGCTAGTACAAGCAGCCGCGAATGCACATACAAACGCATGCAAGTCGTCATATGAGCGAAATATTCTCAAGCACGACGTTAAACCCAATTTCACCTCACCTCACCTGTAACAGCTTCTATAACATCCAATACCTTCTATAACATTCAGTAAGGCTGACTGAAGAAAAAACAAAGTGAGTGAGTGAGTTTAGTTTTACGCCGCTTTGAGCAATATTCCAGCAATATCACGTCGGGGAACACCAGAAATAGGCTGCTTCACACATTGTACCTGTGTGGGGAGTCGAACCCGGGTCTTCAGCGTGACGAGCAAACGCTTTAACCATTAGTCTACCCCACCGCCCCAAAACAAAGGTGACAAAAGTCAGCATTATTCCAGTTACTAGTATATCAAGACGTATGTTATATCGCAGTTATAAATTAATGACACTGAACCAGATAATCCAGTGATTTCAAAGCATTAAATTTAACTATCCACAACGTCGGACGTCGGATCCATTTTAGTCATTAACTTTATGGATCTAATGTGATCCAGAATTCCTAGAGGTGAAACAAAACAAGTTTTGAAGTTTGGAAAGAAACAAATGTCGCACAATTTCAAGGAACTGAAGAATTGTGTGCAGGCCAACTAATTATGGTTCTCACACAGTGTACATACAATGGTAAATTCATCTGTAGTGGTTAATATCCAGCAGCAGCAGGATGACCTCATCTACGTATTCTAAACACGAATGTTGAATGTAACACTGAAACCCGAAGGTTAATCCAGAAATCGGTACGTACAGAACTGATGATTCAAATCTGTAACTCACCAAACAAGAACAATCACATTTTATTGAAATACACGGAAAATAGTTTTCAATCATGTGAGGTGATACACTGGGTCAACATGTGACCAAACAAGATAATGCACAATCCACAAATGCTATTTAAATGCACACATACTCGTTTACAATCACAACAGATAATACAAAGGTCCCGGGCCTAGATTTTCGAAGCTCTCTTAGCGCTAAGATAGTCGTAAGTTAATGTTCATGTATGGCACTTACGACTATCTTAGTGCTTAGAGAGCTTCGAAAATCTAGGCCCAGTAGTAATTAACCATATCAGACCCTAAAACGAAACTCAAGTGAGTGAGTATGATCTTACGCCGCTTTTAGCAATATTCCAGCAATATCACGTCGAGGGACACCAGAAATGGGCTTCACACATTGTACCCATTTGGGGAATCGACGAGCGAACGCTCTTCTACTTTACCGCCCCCATACAAAAATGAACACAGTGCTGTTACCGACGTAGTCAGCTTTATTCCAGCCTTACTAGTAAATCACAACGTATGTTACATCACAATTATACATGCATGCTTCAGAACCAGATAATCCAGTGACTTCAAAGCATTTAATTTAATTATCCACAGCGTCGGGCAGGATGGGATTCAGTCATTAGCGTTATGGATCGAGGTGACAGTGGATGTGCCTGGAATCTCCTTTGTCTCACACTTATATAGGTACAGTCAGCTATTTCTATACTCCCCATCAAAAGTTTAGACTCACTAGTGTAAATGTAGCCACTTACTTTAGTCAACTCTTCTAAACTAGATTTTGCAAAATTCGCCATACTGTTTAAAGGTACTGTTTACACATGAACTGATGTATTGTAAAACAAATTCGTCACGTTGAAAAGATTATTGTCATGGGTTAAAAAAATGATATTTTACACCACAACACAGCTATTCACATGCACGATATTTGCACATTGCATATTTGCTTTTAAGCAATTTAATGCATGATCCTCGTGCAATTCATCTGCATAAGGTTTGGAGTTTGTTCCCGAAAGTTAGTGAAGAAATTCCTCTTCGATGTAACCACACATATATGCATGACATAATAGTGAGTGGTTTAAGTGAGTCTAAACTTTTGATGGGTAGTATACTTCGAACATCATCTGTGAAGATCCGGTTAAGATTGGACTCATGTTTGTCGTAAGAGGCGACAAACGGAATCGTGTGGTCACGCACACCGAATTAGTCTACACATGTCATCGTATCGATGCTCATGGTGCCGATCACTGGACTGTCCGTTCCAGACTCTATTAAACTAAATGTCAAAAGAAAGTCTCCCATGACGAAACTTCTTATAGAAAATAATAACCAAATGCGCTGAATGAAAATTCATTTGTATTGGAAGGATGGATGGCTTCCACTGTATTTACAATGGTTTACACAAGTAAACAAAGCAAACTTATTAAATTTACAGACAGATGAATCACATGGGGGTCAAATTTAAATCATAGAGTTATTCGTTATCGAGTTCAATGTACTCTCCAGGATGCTTTTGGGGTCAGTATCCTCGAGAGTTAATGCATGCATGAACACAACGTCTCACAGACGTTATGAGACGTCTGGTGACGTCATTGGGAATGTTCTGCCTGTTCTGAGATCCGGTAAACGTGCCGGTCAAGGCAGTACGCTGATATTGTTCGCATTGTTGAAATGTGTCACAATCCTTGCCGTGTGAGGAGTGGCATCATCCTGCTGGAACAAAGTTCCTTGCGGCTGTTCGTGCACGAAAGGCACAACGACTGATCTAAGATCATCATGAATGTATCGTTGGACAGTTATGAGTAACGGGGTCGTGTTCCCCCCAAGCCATCACACTTCCGCCACTATATGGCACGTTCCGTTCACCTCTGCGTCGATACACCCGTCCATAGTTGTGATAAAGGGTAATCTCTCATCGCTGAAGAGCACACGACGCCAATTCCTAAGCTTCCAACGTCTCACTCGCGTTGCCCAACGTAACCTGTTTTGGCGTTATTGTGGTGTCAACGTTAGTCCACGTTACGGTCGACGGACACGAATTCCTGCAGTACGTAGTCGTCTTGCTGCTCATAACACGACCTTCTGCTGTTGATGACGTTTCTGCCACCGTGAGGAACCGGTTCCTTAGGTGTAACATGGGCAGATAACGGTCTTCAGAAGGGTCGTGACCTTTGGTCTGCCAGTTTTCGGTCTATCGAAGGTCGTGTCTCTCTGTTGAAAACGTTCCATTAATGTGTTGATGGTTTTACGGTGGCCTCTAAACGTCCTTGCAACGTTGGCGTGAGACGCGCCCATATTGATCATGCCTATCGTTCTTTCTCTCTGTTCACGACTAGGCCTGTGTATTTTAAATGTGTTTTCCTGTCACCTAAGCTCAGTGGGATTGCATTCACAATTATTTGGTTTCTCAATGTGAATTTTATTCATTTGGATATGGAAAAGCACGCATTTCTGTACATGTCTTTATCAAAAAGTGCACGACATTCTCAATAGTTGGCATCTTTTGACCCACATTTGGGATGCGCTTGAGTGCATAGAAAACGTTCGATTTCGTTTATTCGATCACTTCCCCAAAACATAACTTCAAAATTTTAATGGGACACCTTCTTTTGGCATTTAGTTTATTATCAAACCGCCGTCATATAGTTAGAATATTGCTGAGTGTGGCGTTAAACAACAAACAAAAGAAAAACAAAACTTCAAACGCTGTCGATGTGTTTGCACCAACATGGATCAGCCATACACAATAGCTAACACATGGAAAAGCCATAACCTTGACCAAGCTAAGTTGTTACCAACAAGCAAGTCTCTGCCTTGAACCGGAAGAATTTTCTTGACACCAACCTTCACGAATCCTTAAACCTACCTGACGGCACATCAACAACATGAAGAGACGCACCAGTAACTTAACCAATACTCTCAAATAAAACATTGAGTTAGCAGTTAGTAAATGATCGGATGCGGATTATCTCGTGTAAGCAAGACAAAAACTTCTGAAATATAAGGTACATACTTAGCAGCGACCCGTGAAGGTCCGGGTTAGAATATTGATCTTCAGTAACCCATGCTTGTCGTAAGAGGCGACTAACGGGATCGGGTTATCGGGCTCGCTGAATTGGTTGACACATGTCATCGTATCCCAGTTGCGTAAATCGATGCTCACGCTATTGATCACTGGGTTGTCTGGTCCAGACTAGATTATTTACAGACCGCCACCATATAGCTGGAATATTGCTGAGTGCGGCGTAAAACTAAACTCACTCACCCTCTCTACAACAAACAAAAAGTATTGGAACACCCTAACATTTGACAGTCATATATAAACTTAAACGTGGTGAGGTCATTTATACT